GCGGAGGGAGTGGCAGCAGAGCCGGTACCCGAGGCTATGCCGGGTGGAGCAGAGGCAACGGACGTTGCTGTGGAGGGACGGCCTCAGGCGGTGGATGAGGCTGTGCAGGCAGGACAACGGCGAGTCGAGGGGGCTATAGACGCACGGCGCGAGGTCCAAGAGACAGCGACGGGTACAGTCGTTCCGTTCCCGGGCCTGCACTTGGCTCAGGCCCGACAGCCGCAGGCGGTTCAGATGGCAGTGCATGGTGTGCCACCGCCCGTTATCACGGATTTGGGGTCCGAGCTGGTGGTTGTGCCCCCATGTCTTCCTTGCCACTTTGCTCCGCAGGAGGTCCGTCGTCCTTTGGATGCAGAGGAGTTGGCGAGAGAGGCTGTGCGCGATGTTACTCGCTTGGACCGGCGGATCTTCAACCAGAGGCTCGAGCATCCACCATGCCAGACGATCCCTTCGGTTCCAAGGGGTCCTGCGTCGCCCGTGTGGTCTGGGTCTACCTCCACCGGAGGACATACCGCGGGACATGTTCCAGGGTTTCGGGCGGCGTGACGGAGACAGCGCCACACAAAGGAGACATGCCACCCCCTCCTCCCAAAGCACCTGCAGGTGATCCATCATCGTCGCCCACAGGCAGAGGCTCTCGATCCCCACACACGCCTGGGAGATCTAGGATTCGTGACACGACAGCAGTTCAGCAGGACGTGTGTGACATGACGATATTCGGGAGAACAGATATAGATTTGGATTCCACCCGCCGTGTCACGGAGCACACTGCACGCCTTCAGCCGGGCTTGGGAGGAGGAGGCGCTAGGGCGACCGCGGCGAGGGAGGTCCAAGGGCCCGTTAAACGGATGAACGGGCGTTGAATTTCGCCCGTTCTCCATTCAAAAGATACACAGGCGGAGGGTGGTGGTGATGGGGATGTCGGTGGAGGGGCTGGACCTTATGGAGGATCGGATGCAGTTGCTCGACATGATGTCTACAAGGACTCACACACTACGGGTGGAGGGCATGAGGTGGCTGCAGGAGGAGGAACTTCCGAGGAAGTGTGTCTGCTTCATATGTGCATGGGTGTGGAGATGAGGGACACGGCTAGCAGCCAACCGTTTTAGCAGTCGCCGACCGGCCTGACGTGCTTGTGGAGGCACTGGAGGGAGTTTATGTGTTGCCCTTGGGTGGCAGCATGCTCTCTGCGGTCTTGGAGCATAACAGGAGGGAGGATCCTTTGGCGGCAGATCGACGAGGGCGGATGGAGGACGACAACAGGAGAGCATTGGCAAAACCCCCCACCATATGCGCCATGTAGCCCGTCTGTGCCGTCTTCCATGATAGGCGTGACCCCCCCCCGCTTGGGATCCTGTGGGGCAGACAGAGAGCATTAGGGCCGCACGTGCGACCAATAAGAGGTCATGGGATAGTGGGCGCGGCAGGTCTGAGGGCCGTTCATCAGGACCAAGGACATGAGTGGGAGAAGGTAGAGGTTTAGAGAGTTTCTTCACAGTCGCGGATGAAGACACGACCTCATGGGTTAGGTTTGGTGAGGAAGGTCACTCCGGCGATGCGAGACATGCAGCCAGGATTAGATGTCATACCTGCATTGCTAAGACCTCCACCGTCACGGTTGCCACGAGACGGGGACATCGTGATGGATACAACAGGTTGGGGTCGGGGGCAGATTGGAGGACCACGTTTGGACAGTACGGGGGCCTGGCCTTCGACACAGCGCGGCGCACACATGAGAGGTCGTTCAACACTACGTGGTGGACGTTCGGGGACCGCCGCAGCGGGGGCATGTGCACCGACCCCTTTCATGATTGTCGATCTGTCTCCGACCCACCCGCCGGAGAGAGGGACGGCGGGCCGCATCTTGGGCGAGGATGTTCGAGACAGGACGACACGCCCTGCTGCACTAGCACCTGACCCGTATTCCACCGGGAGGAGGCAAGATGTCCACCGCATTTTGCTCAGAGACATGGTCAGGGCCGACGTAGACGAGATAGAGAGAGAGAGAGAGAGTGGTACGGGCACAAGAGGCCGCTCGTGCAGCGTCCAACCAAACCAGCAGGGTGGACGATGGCGTTGTTGCTGCCCGGACGAGGATGAGGGCAGATGTCGTTGACGATGACCACGATTAGTTGTTTGTCTATTCATGACTTTGTTTTGTTCCGTATATGTTGTGAGGCGGTTTTCCTTCTTTGACTTAGGGCGTTCCATTTCATTTACATGCACTACTTGCACAGACATTGAGTTGTAGGTAGATAGGGTGTACTATAGTTTGTTGTGGATGGTTATTAGATATTAGACATGTCTTCACAGTTTGCGTTAATGTCATTTTTTTATTTTTTTTTGTGACACTCGCTATATACATTCGACGAGATGTAGTTTATTTTTGTTTTTTTCTTTTTCCTCACCTTCCAGTTGTCGCTTTTGGATGACCATGCTGCACATTGTGACCTATGACATTTATACCATGATTGTGATTGCTCATGACTCGATACTCGTTTGCGTTCCATTGTGAGTGACATTGGTTAATTGGACTCTGTATTTGATGTATGACTGAATGCATGCTCTGATGCGACCTAAAAAAAAATTGGTAACTGTTGTTTGCTTGTTGTAAACAGTGCCTGCACACCCCCCCCACCCAACTCCCTCCCCTGCAAAATCAAAACACCCTACGACACCCCCAAAAAACCTGTCACTCCCCAGTTCACACCCTACCCCACAACAAATCCAAACACCCCACCACTCCCTGCCGCCCTAAAAAATAGTGTATGTTTTTTTTGCCGACAACCCCCCCCCCCCCCCCCCCCCCCTTTATTAACCCCAACCCCACGGCCCCACCCATATAAAAAAAAAAACAAAGCCCCTCCAGAACATGGATTTTGATATGGCGGAATGGGCAGCCTTCCCAACTACACCACAGGACGCGGCTACCTGCTAACTTGAAGAAGAAGATCCTCAAATGTCAAGGAGATATTGGCTCAATGTTGGGAGAAGAACATGCCAGGGGGATTATCCAAAATACCATGGAAGGCGGTCTTCACAATCTGCAACAGCAGAATCAGAAGCACACAATCGCTCATCATCTATCAGGCTCTGCCAGTCAAACAAGTCGCTGAGTAAGCGAAGGGCACAGGCACACAGAGGCACAGGTCAGGGGGACTGTGTAATCTGTGAGAGGGGAGAAACAGAGGACATCTCCCATTTTCTGCTGCAGTGTGGAAAGACCGATAAACTGTGGGGCAGGGCTAGGGTCCTAGGGAGCTATGGAAAGAGGCCACAAGGAAGATGCTGGTCGAGGGTAGAATAGCCACAGTCACGAACTATGTGGAGCCCAGGGCAGCGGGGGGGTGGAAAAGTGGGAAAAAAGGCTCTTTAGGAGGCCCAGACCGATAACGGTTTGGTTAATGCTACGCAGATTGGTGCATGGCAAAGAAACAAATCACGAATGACCAGGTCAGGCGGGAAGACATCATAGACAAATTTGTTAAACGCGCACTGGGGAATGGGAATGTGGGCTCACTGGAAGGCCAACACGATCAAGTTCAGGTGGGACTCTGGAGGAAGAGGAGGATTAGGCAAAACCTTAGATAGACGAGGTCCACTGGGTGCACACCAAACAGATAAACAAGAGCTTGAATCTTGCATCCGGCCATAAGAAGGGCCTGAGATGTGTCTATTAGCTAAGGGTTAAACGGGTGAGTTTCCTCTGTTTGTCTTCTTTTTTTTTTTGGGGGGGGGGGTAACGGAGTAAGGGTAGGGGACTGTCGTGGAGGTCTGGGATTGCCTGTCAGTTAATCTTTCCGATGGGAAGCAATCAATGCTCACAGGGGTCTCCCAGGCCGCAACACGGGAGAGTGTGGTGTCCATTTTTTCTTTCTTTTGGGACGTTGGGCTCGGTGTCAGGCAGGTGGCGGCACGGCGCCCTCCACCAATAGATCAAGGCTGTTGTCTTTTTTAAATTTAAATACCGTATTGGACAAAGCGCAACCGATCGAATCATCAAAATATATGGAAGCTCATCGAAGCTCAACAGTTTAATTTGGAAAAGAAGCAACTGATCAAATCATCTGATTATCATCAAAAGCCATCAACCAGTTCAATCCGCTCCCTTGTGCACTGTGCAGCAGAACAACAGGAGAGTGATGGCGGTGTGAGCTACCTTCAGGCTGACACCACAGAGGACAATCGCACAGAAGGCAGCTGAGATTCAGAGGAGCAACGGAACAACATACAAATTCTTCAACATGAGTCTGGGGAGCGTCAAATTAGAACTCCGGTGTCCCGTTCACATAAGTCTGTCTGCAACAATTGTCTGCCTCTATCTAAAAGGAGGCAACCGACAAAATACAGATTGAATCTAGGACATCAACAGAAAATCAAGCTAGTATACAAGCAAGAATTTGACTCTCATGCAAGGCACTGAAGGCAGAGCGCGAGGAACATGCAGGTGTGTGACGGTCCGCTGACGGACACACTGTGCCTTGAGAAGTTGAGATGTCATCATCAAACCGACCAGGCCCAGCTGGCAGCCGCCCAGGCGAGTACTATTGCTGATGTGATTCCGTGAGAATTCTAGCTCAGGTCTGTTTATCAACAGTTGATGGGTGTATTTTTTAGCTGCATCAGCCTGCATGGCCTGGGTGGGTGACTTTTCTTTTTTCTATTTTTTTATTTATCCTATTTTTATTTTTTTGTACTATTTAAAGGGCAACGGCCTTGAGATATCATCATTGAGCTGACTGGCCCCAGGTAGTTCAGAATTATATTATTCTACTCATCTGATTGCATGAGGATTCGAACTCAGGTCTGTATTTCAACAGTTCATGGGTGTACCAACTGAGCTAGCCCATTGGTTGGGCGGGGTGACTTTGTCCAGAGGAGGGAACGCGACAAAATACAAATTGAATCATTATGTGGGAATTCAACTTCGCATCAAGTTCTTGGTTGGTTCAGAGGAACTTCAGACGCAAGCGAAAAACTCAGAGAGGCAGGGCAGAAGCTCAGGAATTAACCGTCTTACACACCGTGAGATGTCGACTGATTGAAAATGAGATTGACTCTTCGGAAATCCACATTCTGCATCAAGCCAAACAGGGTCACAAAAGAGCCGAGAATTCCATACGCATGAGTTTGCATGAGAACTGAGGTTGTTTCGAAGTTTGTTTCCACACCATCAACATGCATTCAATGGACTCAACTATTCGTGGAAGTGGAGAGCTCATCGTCATCACCAGCACCTATTCCAGCCACTACCATCATTGCCATGATAATTGCCGCCAGTCTGAGAGCACTATTCAATTTTCATGCTTGCGCCATGGAGTGTCTTCTTGGCCAGGTAGAGACGGGAGGAGGCTCAGAAAACTGCCGTTGGCAGTCTGTGCAACCCTGAGGAGTCTGAACGGAGAGATGAGAGCTCGTTAAACTGATCGGGAGCAATTGCCAGGAGATCAAGACGGACTGGGACGGACAGGGAGAGGTCGGGACGAAGCGGGACAGATCGGGAGGGATGGGCCCGGATCGGGACGGATCGGGGCGGATGAGTATTGTAGCCATATACGAGGCAAAGGGAAGAACTGAGGAGAAAAAAAGACAGAAACGAACGGAAGAAGCTGACGAGATTGTACGACACAAGGTGCTCAAATCGGATGGACGGAAATTCGTGGGAGTGATCAGACACTGACAGACAGTCTGACGGGAACGATCGGGGATGGATGAAGGCAAGCGAATGGGGCAGCGGAACGACCTTCCGACTCCGGAGACCCCTCTCCCGTTTGACTCTGTAGACGACACCCATTGAATTGGTGACCTCGATCAGACGGATGAAATCGTGCTCCCGAATGCTTACCCATCGTCGTCAATTTCAACGTAAAATCGTACCCCTCCCCCACCAACCCCCGAGTGGCC